GATTACCTCTTCAGAGGGAGGAATGTTGAGGTAGCAAAGAGCCCCATTTTGGAGAGAAAGAAGGAAGGAAAGAAGGAAGGAAGGAAGGAAGGAAGGAAGGAAGGAAGGAAGGAAGGACAAAAGAATCAAGTTCAGTGGTAGGACTTAAGATACAATCCCACTTAAATTTTCTTTAACTTCAAGCCAACTTTTGAGGTATGCAATTATTCTATATTCTAGGTAGACAAACTATTGTTCTAGACAGAATTTCGGGTCAATATTTAGGGAATGTATTCTATTAGTGCCTAATTTTTCCATTTACTAAGACTAGAAGAATCCCTAAGACACCACCAAGGGAGTCAGTAACCTACCCAGTTACTTACAATACTCTGCTCTAACAAACATCAGAGCAAATTGCTCCCGTGAATGAGGCTCTTTACTCCTGTTCTAAGTGGAAAGCCATGAATACACTACGCCCAGATTACCACTGCCAATCTTTCCTCACTTGAATGAGAAATGTTTCCTATCCAGAAATTATCTAAAACAACTCATTCCATTATTTAGGCCAAAGGGCAGGATCAAACACTCCCAACATCACAGCAGATGCATTCCTGTGTATTCCAGTCAGAAGAGAACTGACATACAAAAAAACCCTTAAAACATACCCTGCCATTAATTACAAAGTAAAGCTTTCCTGAAGAAAGTGAAAGAAAATACAGTAAAAGATTAAAACTTAAAAATAGAAAAAATACATTTTTAAACACGAAGCTTTAAAAACCAAATTAAATACAGCTTTAGTCACTTTTTTTTTTAATATGTATGCATGTATTGCCTGCACGTAGGTAAGTGCACCCATGTCGTGCAATGCCCAAGGAGGTCAGAAGAGGCTGTCAGTTCCCCTGGACTGGAGTTACATACAGTTGGTTAGCTGCCATGTAGGTGCTGGGATTCAAACCCGGGTCTTCTGCAAGAACAAGCTTTAGTCACTTTTAATTTTGTGTTTTTGTTTTAAAAAATGTTCTACCAAAAATATCACAACTTCATATCACATTGCCTTTTACAGGAATTTTTCTTGCAATAATGTCTATGAACACCCTAAGACACCCACTTCAAAGTATAGCCACAACTTTGTTTCATCTTTGGCTTCACTTGGAAAAACAAAATGAACAAACTGAATAAATGTAAACACTGCAAACTATGCAAACACAGAAAGAATCCAAGTGCTGAAAATCAAGCCTTTTTGTTGACTGTAATAAAGTTAAATCCACAATGAAATTCAGAACTGTTATAAATGCCATCACATCATACACGCCCCACAAAAGAAATACGCAGCCTCAGAATTTGCTAATACATATATATATGGGTAAGAATGAGAGCTGAAAAACAACATAAAGCATTCAACAAATTCTCAAGGCTTTAGATTTGGAAATCCCAATTACTACACCAGGACTATGCCAGGGCAGGTGGATAAATGATGCTTTGTTGGGGGCATAGAGCAGCAGCCTGGTATCAAAGTTAGTTGTCTCCAAGCTCCATCCATTTATTCCATGTGCTGTCCAACAGCTATGGGTTTTCATGCCATGGAAAGAGTTGGGAAAAGCTGTCAGAAAAATCTACCCACACATGTAAATATCCAATCTAAGCCATTTTCATCACATCTACATTTAGAAATTCTATCTAAAATTTAATGACACATGATTCTATCTTTTTAATTTTTGCTACACTTGCATGTTTTCTTTTTCAAAAAAGGCCATTTCTATTACATTCAATTCCTACTTTCTGGAAGACATAACTCCCTGGATATTGCAGGGTTTCAATGGTCTACTCAAGAACAATTTCTTTTGCTACATAAAATCATCAAATTGTGAAGAAAAAGAAATGTAACCTAGTCTGATTCAAAGGGAGAACAAAGAAAACTGAAATCTAACGGGTTAGGAAAAGCAAATACTGCTACATAAAATCATCAAATTGTGAAGAAAAAGAAATGTAACCTAGTCTGATTGACAAAGAAAACTGAAATCTAACGGGTTAGGAAAAGCAAATACTACCTATGTAACCTACCAACAACTAAGAAAAGCATGCATTTTTCTTAGTAATGTTTCCAGAATTAAATCTTAGGTCATCTCCATAACTGCAATCTTTAACAGCCCTGTAAGCCCGACAATATGAAGTCCAAACCTGTAGACTATGAAGAATCAAGAACGTGACCTCTCTCCAGCTTTCCTTTCACAATCTCCCTGCCCACCTCCACTCCAGAAGGTTCAACTTCTTGGTGACACCTCTGTGGAGTCATGCCAGCTTTTCTCACACTGCTTCATCTACCTGGAGCGTTATCCTCTGCTACCCTCCACATACACAATCTTCTCAAAGGAACAGCTCACAGTTCATCTAAAAAACTAATACAAAATTGCGACCACAAACCAAGGACATTACTTAAGAACACCCAAATATGTACAATATTTATTTAGCACCCAAGTGCCAGAATGGTGCCTGCCCTAGAATTAAAATAATGCTTGCCCACAAGAAGCATGCAGGTCAGAGAAAGAAGTCAATGAGCCGATGACCTGCAGTGCAACGGGCTTGCCTGAAGGGTTTAGGAAGAGCAGAGAGGGGTGCTAGGAACTAGGTGCTAAGCTGAAGTTGACCTTTTTAAAAGAGCAATCAGTATGAGATAAGGAGTCTGACCATTCTAAAACTGGGAGAGAAACCCCAGTGGCATCCTTCATTCTTTGAGGCTCTGCTTCTTCACCACAAACACATAGAAACAAATGGTCTTTTAACAGGTAAGACAAAGCACTAACATGACACAGCTATGCCCCAAAGCATGCATGCCAACAACATCTATGTGGATCAAAAACCTAACAGGAACACAAAGTGTAAGACAAGGGAAGCCACTGGCCCCAGAGCAGGAAAAAGCAGCAGGAAGTTGTATCATAGGGGTGACTGTAAATAAAAGTGTTCTTACAAAGCCAGGTCAGTATCCAGGCTCTCTGCTTCAAACCAGGGACCAGGGCTGCACTCTTCCTCTATTATAAACTGCACTAAAAAAGGTTTCTGCTAACTGTGCTGAGACTACAGCTTAAAGGAAGTTACTGATCTAGTGCCAAAAGTGACTGAATCTGTGATGTCCCCAATGTCAACATGGGGCCAGGGCTCTGATCCACTAACACAGACCCAATTCTGATCTATAAATTCCAAAGCCAGGCAAAGACAACTATAAATCTGCTACATCAGCAGGGGTAATTTCACACACACACACACACACACACACACGCACGCACGCACGCACGCACGCACGCACGCACGCACGCACAAAGATAGAAACAGGAAAGGAAAAATTAAAGTTCCATTACAGTGTGCCCACTAAGTAGCAGAAAGTGATAAAAACACCAACAGTATCAACAATCATAGCACAAATTTACTGCAAACTTTTAAAAAATTACTGAATGACCTGAAAAAGACTTCAAAATAAGCATGTAAAAGAACATAAGGGGCTGGAGAGACGGCTCAGCAGTTAAAAGCACTGCTTCTCTTGCAAAGGACCCAGGTTCAGATCCTGGCACCCACAAGGTATCTAACACCATCCATAACTCCAGTTCCAGGGGCTCCAATGCCCTCTTCTGACTTCCATGGGCACTGCACAACACAGGTGCACTTACATACATGCAAGCAATACACTCACACACATAAAATAAAAATAATAAAATATTTTTTAAAAGAATGTTAGAGATACAAAGGTATAACAAAAGAACAAACCAACTATAAAATAAGCAGAAATGAGAACTGTCCAGTGGAAATAATAAAAAACCACTTAGCAAGCCACTCCCACTCCTCTGCCTTCAGCCTGGCAGAGATTTGACACTTTAGTAGACAAGAAGTTGTGTCAAACACTGAGATTCAAAAATAAAAACAGACGCTACCTGTACCCCCAAACCCACATATGTAACAGTGATGCTAAGTGAACCCAAAGTTACAAAGTACAATCTTAATTTTCAAAACACAAAGATATTTTTAAATTAAAATACTTGCAACTTCTGTTTTAATTTTCAAGAATTCATCATCATTATCACTAGAATCAGTGGTTTATTTTAGATAACCCTTCTCACAAAATTTCATGAATGGAACTGAAACAAAAACTGTTTTTTTTTCCTACTCTGTATCTGCATACATCTAGCAAACCAATCTTGTTTATTCAAAGTATATCAACCAATAAAAGCACACTATTGATGTTTTAAAACTCAAAAATGACTTTCTCCAATTATCTTTAGTAGAAAGACTGAAAGATTTCACACTAACAACTAATATGAGTTAAGCTGCCTTAACTCATATTAAGATAAATAAAACCAATAAAAATAATGTACAAAAAAGTTTAAACTAACATTCTAAGAAGGGAATGCTTACTCTGTCCCTAAGTTTCCATAATCAGAAAATTAGTATTCCAAAAAGCTACTTAAGACCCCAATTAGAATAAAATATCAATTCTTTCTTCACACTCAAAGTAAATAGTTAACACAAACTAGTAAAATCCAATTCTGTTCACAAGCAGAAATGAACAGAAAATACTATACTGTGCTATACTATGTATATACTATCCCTTTACAACTGATGAGATATAATTTTTATCAAGTGTGCTTAAGTCCAAGATAGACTTGGTTTCTTGCTCTATTAAAGACATTGGTAGATTTCTGCTTCGTTTTACACAAATTAACCCATGCTGTCCAATGATAAAACCTGTCCTATGGTCAGCTGCAATAGTCCCTCTTCATACTTCTACAGTCATTTTCCCATTAGGATTTCCGAAACAACAGAACTAAGTCAACCAACAAGAGAATGCCAGGTTTTCTAACTTATTAGAGGAAATCAAACATCAAAAGGCATCTCTCCTCGCTTTAACAGAGACTAGTGCACAGGGCTGAGAAGAATGGAATTAGTCTCTGAAGAAGTGGCATAACAGTAACACATTTCTTCTTTTTTTAAGTAAACACTGAGGCAGTTGAAATGAAATCAAGCAGGACACTTACTCATGACTGGAAATGTGTCTGTGTGTTGTCCCAGTCCAGTATGAAACCACAATCTACTGTCCAGGGCTTCTCAAAGGAATACATATCCTGTTATGAAAGCAAAAGAGAAAGAAATCACATTTTCTAAAGGTCAATATCTAAAATAAAGTTTCCTAAAAGGAAATGAAGAAAATAATTTTATTTCAATTTTTTCTACTACCTCCAGAAGAACTCCTCATCCATCCTCTTTAAGTGTAATAGATTACTAAGCAAACTTCACAGCATTCCAATGGACTTCACATTTCCCTTTTTCTGAAGTAACTTAAAGAATAAAAAATATATAGAAATCAATGGCCATACAGAAACTTATTAACTTGAATCTTCAGTGCTAAACTTACTCCTTCGCCGTTCCCAACTAAGTCAAGAAATTAATTAAAAGCACTCTGCCCAGGGTATACATAGTATATCATGCCTGCTAAACCTATTCTGATTGCATACAAATTATTTACATAAGCCATCAAATAAAGACCATAAATGTTAATTCTGTGAACTTTCTCCAATAATGTACAGTTCCTCAATATAAACATAATATGGCTTCATCTTTACCCAATTATGTGGGCACATACCATTTCAAGACATTTTTCCTAAATATTTTTAATTTTTTTTGGTAAGTACATTAAAAATTTTATACTAATTTCTTTTCATTTGTGTATAAACATAAAGCATCATTCTGTGCTAGTACTGACTGGTATCACATAACCCTTTACTAAGATTTACATTATAAATCTCCCTTTTACCAGGCACAGTGGCCATGCCTTTAATCCCAGCACAGAAGCGGGTGGATCTTTGCGAGTTCCAGGCCAGCTGGGACTAAAGGCAGACCTCTGCTTGAAAACAAAAAATAAATAAATAAATAAATCTTCCTCTCTTGATTAGCATATTTTTAATGACCATAAGTACTAGTAATATATTTAAACATAATATGGATGCACAAAAGCCTGCCTAAATCTAATATATAATTTTATGCTTTTGAAATCCAACACAATATTCACATTTGCATGGTGCCCTTCATAAACAAATAAGCTACTTCTTGTAATCATAAAAAGTGACAGTAATTTTATTTTCTAAATCAATCAAGAAGGCCTAGAAAGATGGCTCAGTGGTTAAGAGCCCTAGCTGTTCTCGCTGACAACTTGGGTTTGGTTCCCAGCACCCACATGACAGCTCACAACTGTCTGTAACTCCAGTTCCAGGGGATCCAATACCCTCTCTTCTGGCCTTCATGTGGGACATTTAACTGCAGATAAAATACTCATATACACAAAATAAGAAAACAAAATAAACCAAAGGGGGTGGGGATTCAAATCTCTAAATCAATCAAGAAAGCAGCAAAGCAGTAGGCCCCTCTGCTTTGAATCAAAGTTAGAGTAACACTTTTAAAGAAGCCATGTTTGTCCCATTCAGATACTTTCCTCATGTCACATAAGATACATGAGAAGCATACATTTACAAAATGCAGAAAGACTACATCAGCATATGCATGCATTGCATGCTTCCTACACTGTAATTAGCAGTGGTATACAATCATAGTTCTGCAACACAGTCACCTGACCCAACCCACAGGCTTCTTCATCTGTGTACCAGCAAATGATTTTCATTTCCCAATAACCCATTCATCCCAAGGACACAAGAAGTGTAGTAGAAAGTCTAAAACAACACATAACCCCCATGCTGGTTTAGAATACACGATGACAGTTTCTTACAATATATGCACTCTCTTTCTTAATGGTACTGGACTGAATGTACTGGATTTGATTTTCCTCCTTGGAAACCAAGCGGTGGAACATGCTGACCTGGAGCATACTAAATGACCACAAGGAAAGGCACCCAGCGTTACAAAAACACAAAGCAGATGGAATGCTCACAGATGCCCCAGGGGTCCCTCATACTCCTACTTGTAGCATCTACTCTTGGGTATTACCCAGGGACTTTCCCTTGTTCATGTTTATATCAAACTTTAATATTAAAATTTCTAAATGGATGCACCAAAGCACTTTATAGGATGTAATGCCCCTTCCTGCCCATAACAGAAGAAGCTGAATAAGCACGTACTGCAGGATTTAAGACACCAGGAATTTTCTCAAAACTAAAAATACTATCTTCAAAAATATCAAAATAATAAACCTTACAAACACTGGACATATAGACTTACCATCTGAGGTAACAAATGCACACACATCTTACAGTTTATAAACATGTAAAGTATGTACTAGAATTTAACATAAAAAGTCACAGAGCAACTCTCAGAAATATATTTATGAATAACACAACTGAGCTCACTTGGCCAAGATCCTTTATGCTACTCACAGCTTCAAACCATGGATTCCTCCACCACCACAACCTACTTTCAAGGTAGATCGTCTACCAATGTTTTTCAGCAACAAAGTAGTTAACACACAAGATAAAAAGCTTAGCTCCATTTCTCCTGCCTAAAATGTTACCCTTGCCAGAGAAAAATAATGTCTCTTAAATCCATAATTTCATATAGTCGTTCTTTCTACTATTTCTGTAAAATCTGGCCTTTATCTCATTTTCAGGGATTTTGGCTTTGGGGGTGTGGCCATAAACCTTCCTGGAATGAGGCAGCGCCTACCTCACCGTTCCAGCAGCAGTTCTAATGGAGGCTGTAGGCGCACCAGAGCACGGAGTCTGTCGGCATTCTCTTGCAGTCTTGCTTCCAGCACCAGGAGCAATGCATGCCCAAGGTGGCTGCTAGTCCCAGCACGGTACATAACTGAAGATAACCCACAGCTCAAAAGTAAATGCAGCCACAGAGTCATGGCTACAGATCCATGAGCTACAGATAAATGTCTTCTGTAGGCCATTAAAATTTTGCCGTCATTACATTATTACCTTATTACAGTCAAAGATGACTGATTCGGAGTAAAGATACTAACTTTAGGGGCTGGAGAAATGGCTCAGAGGTTCTGCTAAAGACGTGAGTTCAGTTCTCAGCACCAGTAGAGGCAGGTCACAGCCACTTGTAACTCAAGCTCCAAAGTGACTCAACACCTCTGACCTCAGTAAGTACAGGTACTCAATGTGCAAACATACACACATACAGACCCACACTTACATACTTAACAGAATCTTTTAAGATACTCATTCCAAAAGAAAACTAACTAAAGTTTCAAGTTAAAAAGATTGTACTAAAAAAATCTAGCTACAAAAAAAAAAAAAAAAAAAAAAAAATCTAGCTACATACTTATAGGAAACATATCTAAGTAAGTAGAATACATAGAGACCGGAAATGAAGGCATCAAAAATGCATGCTAGGCAAATACTTACTAAATACAGAGATGTGGCCATAGAAACTCTTACATATATGTGCCAGGATATATACTCAAAAATACTCATGGAGCTGGGGCAAAGCTCAGAATCAGAGCACATGCCCTAGTTTGACAAAAAGCTCCAGGTCCAATTCCTAGCATCATACCACAAAAAAGAAAAGAAAAGGAGTTAAATGTCCATAGCAACACTGAGAGACAGAGAGACAGAGAGACAGTGAGAAAGGGAGGGGGGAGAAGAGGGGAGAGGAGGGGAGTAGAGGAGGCCTGTATCAAAGCTATTTGTAATACCAAAACAAAAAAGAACTGAATTTCCACCATAAGAGTTAATAATTATGCCATCTTATAATCAAGCACTATGAAGCAGTGAAATGAACCAAAAGTATGCACATCAACAAGAAATGAATATTATTGATATATACTCGCGTCTACTATAAAGTACAAACATATACAGTGGTATCAAGATACATGATATAATCTATAATGCTCTAGAACACAGAAAGTTAGCAATACATTCTTTTTTTAAAAAATTTATCATTTTATGTGTATGAGTGTATTGCCTGCATGTATGTGAGTGTACCCGTGTTGTACAATGCTGTGGAGATGAGAAAAGGGCATCAGATTCCCCTGGAACTGGAGTCAAGGACAATTCGTAGCCGCCATGTGGGTGCTAGGATTCGAACCCAGGTCCTCTGCAAGAGCAGTCGGTGCTCTTAACTGCTGAGCCATCTCTCCAGCCCCAGCAATACATTCATTTGAGACAGTCATACGGGTAATGTATCATAGAGAGAAGCCAAGTAATGCTAGGCCCTGTAAGAGGCTAATGGTTCCCTCAAGCCAGCAGTGGGATGAGGGTAGGAAGCAGTCATCCAGGAGGGCACTAGTTATGTTCTAACACAAGCAGAGGGAAGGAACAGAATGTACATTATTTCGTCAGTCTTTATCATATGTTACATGTAGTGTTTTATATGGAGCTTATATTTTACAATATTTAAATGTGAAAAAGCAAAAATTTCCAAAAGATATAAAAAATTTAAATAAAAATATGTAACTGCATGCAAAAAGGAATTAAATGCAGTTAACAATCTTTAAGTTGTAATTAAGAGACTGAATCAATTCTAGTAACTTAATTATTCCTTAAAAATAAAAGACAAACACAAGTGATAATCAGCTCTACCACAAACTGTGAGGCAGTTTTATGTGAAAAGATATGATGTATACATGTATACAACAGCTGGTAACCCAAAGAGCTGCGTCACGTGTGCTGTCTGCACTCAGCTGCCTGATGACTGCAACCTCTTGCCTCACCTTCACAGCTATATAATCCTAGCTCATTTTCCTAGCTCATACTTGGAACTGTCATTCCTCTCCCCCCGCCAAAAAAAAATACTTAAGAAAATTTCTTTCCTTGCAACATTAATTTTAACAGTTAAAAAAATTATAAATTGGGTAGAGCCTGGTGGCAGGAGCCTTTAATCCCAGTACTCAGGAGGAAGAGGCAGATAGATCTCTGTGAGATGGAGGCCAGCCTGGACTAGATAGCAAGTTCCAGGCCAACTGAGACTACAGTGAGAACCTGTCTCAACAAAACAAAAAAGAAAAAGAAAAAAGTTTTAAAGAAATTATAAACTTTAATGTTCAATAATAAGCAACTGACTGAATATTCATTTACACGTAATAGACTCAATGTTCATTAAAAATGGCTCAAAGTGGGCTGGAGAGATGGGTCAGTGGTTAAGAGCATTGGCTGCTCTTGCAGAG